GTATTTCTCTGGTTTTGATGCAAGTTTCATGAGTACGAAATATTAGCTTGCATCCAAACTAGAACTAAATTAATATGTATATAGTTTTATGAACACCTTAAATTAACACATAGCAAACATCAATTAGCCGCTTCTGCTGACAAAGTTTAATTTTTTAATAGTCCTAATGACGTAGCCGCATAGTCGCTGAAACAGGAAGAAAAATATCATAAATGATGAGGGATGGAAAACATAGAATATAACCGAAATCCATAAAATATCATTGCACGATCCAATTTTTGTTTCAAACAGTGTTTACTTCAAACAAAATTATTGAGAAATATTTTTTAACACAAAACAATTGTAGATGAATTTTGGCTCATTGGTCTGCCTGAAAATATTTGAAAAAGTTCACGCCTTATCTCTCTGAGAATTCAATTATTCAATTCCTATAACAAAAATTCTCTAACTTCTGCTGTCAAGGAGATGTGACATTGAACCTCCTGATATGACTACTTTCTTACTTCTCCTTTTGAGATCATTGGAAAAGCAAAGTGTCTGCCAGATGATCATAGATCATCGCAAGATAAATATTTGTATCGAGCTCATTACTATGATACCCGAAAAGCCTGCAAAAATAATAAAAATGCCACAAACTGAGCTCATTTTCTTAAGACCTGTTAAGAACCAGTTTTAGTTTTTTTCTATTATGTATTTACTCAATGTATCCCAGAAGTAAATGTATAGCTCACACACAGTGGATTTTAAAATAAGAATTTACATAAAATTCTTTATGTAGATATGAGGAAACTCCTCTCGAGAAGTGGTTAATTTGTCATAAACGCTCTAATATTCGAGTAGAAAGAAAGTTATACTTAAATTATATGCTCTTTGTAGGGGGAAACATTAAATGAATTTTATATATTGAAATACTCATGTGGTACTTGGGCATAACAAGTGCCACCAACTGACTTAAGTGTTGTTACTATTATTGTTGTACTTCTTATTGCTATTGTGCGAATACAATAGTTGCATGGAATTGTTGGTGACTGCGGTTGATAGCACCGTCCGCGCTTTGCCAAAGCGCAACGCAATAACATGCTTGTCATAATATATTTTTATATTTATATACTTGTATGTGTGTTCTTGTATTATTTGAAGTATAAAATACTCCTTTCTGAGACGCACAGACCGTTTGACAGACAGACACTTTTCATGCAAGTGGCATTTTTCACTTTTTCATCCGCCATTCTAACTTGGAGATTTAGTTTCTATACAAATATTTTCCAGCAAGCGCACAGACTCGCAAATATATATATGCATATATATGTATACATACATACATATGTATATATGTAGGTATATAATGCAAAAATGAATTTATTTGAGTACTCTAATGCACATATGACTGCAGAAATTTGATGCCAGCGCTACGCATTTTTCTTTAAAATATGCGTGGACATTCGGATAAGTCCTTCTTCTTCTTCTTCTTCTTTATTGGCGTAGACACTGCTTATAGACGAGTTTACAGCAACGCGCCAATTGGAGATTCCAAATGCATCCAGGTCATTCTCCGCCTGGTCTTTCGGAGTAGAGGTCTTACACTTCTTCTGCTTCCCCCGACGGATACTGCGTCGAATACTGTCAAAACATTCATGTTTTCATCCATTCGAATGACATGACCAAGCCAGCATAGTCACTGTCTCTTAATTCGCTTAACTATGTTAAGGTCATCATATAGTATATCTCGTTCAGCTCAACGCTCTATCGACTGCGGTATTCGCCGTTGCTAATGCACAAAGGACCATAATTCTTCCAAAGAACCTTTCTTTGAAAACTCGTAACGCCGACTCGTCAGATTTTTGTTATCGTCTATGTATTTGCATCATATTAGCAAGACGGGGATAATGAGTGACTTAGAGATTTTGGTCTTTGTCCGTCGAAAGATGACTTTACTTCTCACTTACCTACTCAGTCCGAAGTAGCAATAGTTGACAAGAGTTATTCTGCGTTGGATTTCGAGACTGATAAGTCCTTAGTCAATCGAAAAAAGGGAAAACTTTAGGAAAGAAAACTGGCGATTTATTTTTCAGCATTGTCACCTATTAAGTCGAACACTTTGGAATACTTTTAAAATCTAATATCTTAGAAAAATATAGTTCATAAGTTCATAGAGATCTACAAAGTAGGCTTCTATGGTGGCGATATCCACTTGATTTGATTTATATTTCTGTCTCGCGAATGAACGTTTCAAGTAAATCTGAAAAAGAATGCACGGGATTAAATGTGGTGAATACGTTGAATGAGGCAGGTAGAAGTTCGTGTCATCATTCGACCAATTCGACCGTAGTCATGACGTAAAAACAACAACCGATCTGCAATTCAAATCAAATCAGTCTAATCACTTAGAATAGTTTATCCCTATGGCAATTTTCTCTTTCGCCAAGTTGTAGTTATAAATCATACCTTATGATTGCCAGATTATGGTGGATATCATCTTTCCGGTAGTTAAGAAAGTTTTCGCCTTCTTCAGGGCAGGTTTGCCAATGAAGTGTACTACAAAGTTCCTTGATCTCTGGGGTACACTAATGGTTTCATGATTCAGCAGCAGTTATGAAACGGCGCAGAAAGTTCTTTGGTTTTGAACTTAAGCACAGCTGTGAACAGCATGAGAGCTTTGAGATTCCTACTGCCTAAGCCATTTAGAGTAACTTCAATCGTCTTTGGTTGATAGTAGTTATCAGGGCGACTATGTGTCGTTGATACATTTTTGACATCCCCACCCAAGTAGATAAGCCACTTTGTATGACATTTTCAAAAATGAAAATCTAAGCACCGCCCGTTATTGTTCATTTTCAATTTTTCCAAAATTTGTTGAAGTGTCAGCTTTTATACGCGGTCAAACTAAAACTTCAGGTCCGATTGACCGATACAATAATAAATACCATAAGGCTACGCACCTATCGGACCGCTCTCGTACACATCTCATTCACATACATGCACATGGGTGTTGTCTTTGTTCAAATGTGCATAAGTTCGCAAATAACAAATTTATGCTTACGGAATATACTTTATATCACATACACACATACATATATACATGCGTGTACCCTGTGTAGGGCCTTTATTTAGCTCACCATGAATGCGCAGTTAAGTGGACTCACATCGTGGTGTGCTGACGTTGCCAAGACAAATCTGAGCAAACCAAATAGTACATTACCCTGAATTGAATGAAATAAAAAATGGAGAATGACAACTTGCCGGCTATGCTTCAGTTTTACCAGCCGAAATGAGAACGCTGTTATAAATATCGAAATGTACATTTCAAGTATTTGAGTATTTACTGAAAGCACTGGGACAATTTAGTGCGGATTTAGAGGTTTTATGCATTGGCAAAAGCTTCAATTTATTCAAACAACTTGAACTTTTCTTGGGAAGTACTTGAAAGTAACAAATTTTGCGGAGGAATGCATTTTCATATTAAAGAAAAACTAACAGATTTCATACAAGAATGTGGCCATGATCACGGTCGCGGCGGCATATTTAGTTACTCGCTAGTCCATAATTAAAGCTTATTGAGAACCTGAATTTAAATGTAGATTGACATAAAATCTGCACAATAGAAGCAATGACTATGGCTTGGCGTTTTTCGTCTGTTAAAAGAAATAGATCATAAAATTGATTCTTGAATTCTTGACCAAAAATAATACTGTAAGAATGCCCCAGCCTCCATATTCGCCAGATATGGCTCCGTTTGACTTTCTCCTATCTCTAAAATTTGAGATAACCTAAAAGAACCGTCGTTTTACAAGTTAAGATAGCATAAAGGCATATCTCTGAACGAGATTCCTAAAAATCGAGTGTGAAAGTGTTTAAACGATTAGAAGAAGATTTGACATTAGCGCATAATAGCAAGGGAGATTATTTTGCAGCCGACATTTTCAATCACTTAATGTATAAAATTTAATGAATATTGAAAAAAAGTGTTAGGGTTGACATTACAGAACCAAGGGTGAAATAACTTAACTAGACAATTGGGAAAGCAACAACTGACCAGATATTCTGCATGTACCAAATCTTGGAGAAGACCCGTGAAAAGACGATCAACTCATCTCGCCTCTTCATCAATTTCAAAGCTGCTTTAGGCTGCACGAAAAGGAGCTACCTTTATTGCGCTTTGTCTGATTTTGGTTTAACTCTGCAAACTGACGTTGTGTTAGGTCTGTCAGGATACAAAACGAGGTTTTATACAAGGCGACTCTCTTTTATGCGACTTCTTTAATCGACTACTGGAGAATATAATTTGAGCTGTATAACTTAAAAAAGAGGATACCATCTTCTACAAGAGTGTACCACTGCTGTCATACGCCATTGTTATCATTGGATAAAGAAGCGAAGCAAATGGATCTGGTAGAGAACGAGATACGAAATATCTCTTGTTATCAAACAAACACTTGTGACTTGGCTCCTACGTCACTGTTGACAGTCAAAACTCCGTAGGCGTGTATAATTTTGTTGACCTTGGAAACAGCATTAACAACAACAACATAGTAACCTTTAAAACTCAACAACTCAACTTCGGACTGAGTAGGCAATAATGAAGAAAAGTCCTCTCTAGACGAAAAGAGACCAAACCATACAGTCACTCATATTAATTTTTATCAAGAATTAAATCACGTGTGCCAGATATACTATAGCAATAATTGTCTCCCCAGTATCATTAAGAGATTAGCATGTAATTAAAAGTCTTTCGCCGCAAGAAGAAGCATAATTAATTTATATTACCTGTATATTAAAAGAATGTCATTTGAGGTTTTGATTTCAGTTTAGTATAACAGCTCTAAGTGTTAAGAAGCTTGTAAATCTAATTCCTCAATTATTGTAAATTACCTCAAAGGAAAGCATACTTAATTTACCTATAAGCAGCAATACATTTTCGCATGCAAATCCGCTTTTCTCTTTAGTAAGCATTTAATTTTCGATTTTCTCATTTCTCTTTTGCTCACTTCACTTTTTTCCAGTTGACAGCCGTCACTTGAAGGAATCCATTGAACGTGCGGAATTCTCATTGCAATTGGAGTTGTGGTTTGGCGAACAAAACGGCACCAGCGCATTATCATTGGCCTCCACACGCACCTTACAGCTGAATTTCCATCCAGGTCGAGGGCTCCATTACCATTTGCCGGTGCTGTTCGATTACTTCCACTTGGCCGCCATTAGCGTTGGCATCCACGCCAGTTTAGTGGCTTTGCATCAGCCTTACATAAAGTGAGTATTACATGGAGTCCGTGTGTGAATGTGTTGAATGTGAAAGCTGGGAGGCAGACTCCTGATCCGGCGGGCTGAAGCGGGGCATGTTGAAGGGCCATAAAAAAAAGAGGTTAAAGGGCAAAACCACGCACATTCCGGTTGTGGCATTAACACACATGCTGCTATGTTTATTTGTAAACGCGACAGCTTTTGGCCACATACAAGATCATTATACTCTCTAAACGACCTGGCTTGTCATGGGTGTATACCGGGCGCAAACCGATGTTGGCAGCGAATGCGGGATTTGTGGCTGCATTGCTGCTGGCTTGTGCACATTTGCTCATGCACCTGCGTTGTACTTCAAGCCTCTTCATATTTATGGATAAATTATGCAAATGAGATAGATCGAAAAGCTGGATTTAGAAATAATTTGATAAGAGTTGAGAATTGGAATAATTTTTTCATACTCCAATCAGGCTTCTATGAGGATAAGAACCACATATTTTTGCAGAAAGCTCGAAAACTTACTAAATTTTTAAAAATATATAGTAGTAGTTTAATCAGGCTTTAAGAGATAATTTTTATTTTATAACAGTACGTAAATTCGAAGAGCGAGAACTCAGTACAAGGGTACTATTAAAAAAATTTGATTCATCAATACAAGATACCGTGCTATCAATCAAAAATATGGTAACATGTCACTAATTCGTATTCCACGGATGTAGTCCGCAGCGCCCTGTTCCTGCCTGCAGAACCAAGAAATTACTCGCTAAAATGAAATTCTGCAAAAAAGAAGTGTTCATAGGCTAGGCGCTATTTTTAAGTGCATATGTATTCATCTACAAAAATCGTATCGAAAAGTTAGAGCATAGCTATAATCGGATCTCTACCCTCGAAGTTAAATAATAAAATCCAATTTTTTAATAAAAATATGTTTTTAATTAACGCGATACAAAGCTTTCAGACTGCGTGAAACACTGTCCATCTATATACCAATACGGTCACCATAAAAACATGGCGATCTAAATGGGAAAGGCCCCCCAATCCCTTGAAAACACCATGGTTAACGTTTTCCTGTTAGAAATATCTCACTACCGAAGAGAAGGCTCTTCTTTATCGGGTAAGGTTAGGATTAGATCGTATGGTTGATCTAAAATCGATTGACCTCAGTTGACAAAATATTTGACCTTTGTGTTAATCCTAAACTGGCAAACGCCGGGCAACCAAGACCGGAAGAACTAAGACGATGAGTATCCGACAGCAGCAGTCCGATATTTAGCCGCTCCACGTGTGAACCTATTAAACAGTGACCAGTCAGAACACGAACAATTGCAGCGAGTTTGGCTTTGCTAAGAGCTAATGGTTCGGAAGACCTCTTACGGTTCAAAATAAATAATAATAATAAATAAAATAATATCGCAGGCGCACAAATTCTGGTTGTTGACCAGCGCTTTCTGAACTCACTAAAGATGCAAAGATCCAACGTCAAAAGGCAAGCAAACATCGCTTCCGACGGGATATAATTGGTGTAAGGGTGCCAACCCTAGTAAGCTTGGCAGTTTCCGGCGATCCCGCTGTGACCGGGCACGCATACAAATCTAATATGCGTGAATAGCTTGAAGCTTTTGCTAATGACGTCATGCGCTCCTTGACTAGTTTTAAGCCCACAGTCAGTGCCAGTTGAGCTGCTCGGCTATCAAAGTGAATGCACACTTCTCTGAAGGATACTACATTTCTTAGCAGTTCATCTACTGCTATCTTGATAACAGCGACCTCCACTTGAAAGACGCTACATTGATTCAATAGGCTGAAACTAAAGTTGATGGAGATCTTCCGGCAAAACTACTATCCTACTCTCCCTCTTAACTTCGATCAATCCGTGCAAAAGCTCACTGCACCCCTTCTTCAACGGCTTCGTCATACACACAAGTCTGTAAGAGGTGTGTAAGCTTCTTTCTGAAGAGGCTGGTTATTTTCCGCATACTTTTTATAATCATATTATATTATAGAACCTATAAGGTTGACAATTCAGAACTCGGAAGGTCTTATTTGCAATATACGAAGCGACTGAAGTTTGGACTGTAATAGATTTTCAAACAAAATAAAAAAATGGCCTCTAAAAACCTTTGAGCATGTATCCAAGACCGAACACGTCGTTTCATACAAGTTTTGCTCAACTGAGTCTCAAAGCAATACTATAATCTATCATTTTGAATTAGTAAGTGGTTTTCAGTGATCCCAAGGAGGTAGTCAACCAATAAATATTGGAATAGCGGATACTTAACAAATATATATAACATGTACAACATTTCGTCGATCAAGCTGCATGGGAACATTCTCCAGAACATAAGAAACAGTCCAGTACTGAATGTGCGTTTTCTATGAAAATTGAAAAGTCACCTGTAATTGTAAAAATATAATATTACTAAGCACATGTACACATCTTCTAAGCCCATGTATGTTTTTGGTATATATGTATGTCTTTGTGCAACTTCGTGCATATATACATATAATCGTTCCCACACGTCGGTGACGGCACGTGCACTTATAAAAAATTAACATTCATGCCATGAGTGAATTCAAGTGCCGGCTGTTGTGTCTCATCTTGTCATCATATACTTATGATCATGAAAAACAGTGCGAGCCATTGCACGAATGACTGAATGAAGGCTAACAAGGCAAAAAAATATGGAATAGCGAAGGCATTTGCAACTCATTAAATCGCTTACACACACGTTTGGCTTGCCATGTGCCACGCATTGACGTTCATTAGCAACGCATGAAGAATGAGCGGCGCATGGCCATAACGGCAAACGTGCCACCACCCACTATCACGTCCCTGCCCCCATAGTGAGTGGGCAGCTCTCATATTCGCAGACTCACTTGTAATTTCCAACATGTGTCTATAACTTTCTAACCGAGCATGAATGGCAAGACGCATCCTTGGCAACGCTCGTCTCCCTAGTCACTTAGTCTCCTCGTCTCCTAGTCTCATGTCTGTCTACACTTCGACCAACTATTGCCCATCTCTAATCCTATTTGGTGTTTCCTTTCCGACCGACATAACGACTCACCGACTTCCTTACTTGTTTTGCAATTAATTTTAATGACTTAAATCAATTGTTGCCGCTGCGCTGCGTTTCATCCTCCAACCGACACACACTCACCCATATATACACGCCAATGGATCACATTCACGTGCCTACAACTGTACGCAGACGTCAAACGAGAGCCTTGCCACAGGTTATTCCTTTCAACTTTCCTTGGCGTATACAAATTTTCCGACGTTTGATGCTGAAAAAGTTTGTATTGCAACACACACACATACACCCATATACACACCCGCACAACTGAATAATTAAAATCCTTTGCTAATATGTTTATATGTACCATAGCTTGTGTTGTCTGGTATAATATATGTATATAGTTGTACAGCCGATGCGCCATTTACTACTCTCTTGAAGGTATCGCTCACAGAGGAGAATTTAGAAAGTTCATGTTTACAAATAAATGCGATTTGTTGTAAAACTACAAGTGTCTATTTAATCTCTTAAAGTACCTTGAATACTTTTAATCCCTTATTGAAAATTGGTTAAGTTTATTAAAATGATAACTGCGGTCGTTTTCGAGATATACCCACATAAGTAGACACCAATAAATCACTTGATGGATTTGAAGAAGTTTAATTTAAATTTAATTCAGAAGTATTATACATTTATTAAGATAGTTTCTAGTCTGGTGGCATGATTGCTCTTTAGACAGGGATCTGTGAACACTCCTACTAGAGTTCTCAGGGCATTCCTTTTGAATTTTTAGTAAAATGGGATGTTAGATCCAATCTGATATCAAGGCATCCTTTCACTGTTATTGACGAAACCCAAAGAGATTACAGTGATTTCAAAGCTGCAAAGCTGTCTTTTTTGACGGATCCTGCGTGAGTCGTGACAAGCTGTCATGATATTTTTGTTCGGTTTGTTTGACATTTTATCATGAAAAGACCTAAACAACGTTTAAAAATTGTTGAACTTTATTACGAAAACTCACGTTCTGTAAACGCTTGGCTCAACTTATGGTCAACATATTCGGCCTAGTGAGTGAACTATTTGCACCACCATCCCCATCTTCAGACCCAGCACTCATTATTGGATACTATTCGACGAATAGACAGAGAAGAAAATATAGTAACCCTAGCTGAGAGTGTACACAAAGACGGTGGAGAGTCGACTCGGCGTCGTTCGGACTGGACAACTCGAACTGGCGTATGGGACGACTTGGCGCGTTTTACGCCGAAATCTTAAATTAAAAACGCACAAAATAGAGCTTATATAAGAAATGAATCCGCTCGACCTCCTCAAGCGACATCGCTTCACTCTATGGGCTCTTGAAAAGTTCAGAGAACATCGGAAGTTTTCGAGCCAAATTGTTTTCAGCGATGAGGCCCATTTCTGGCTCAATGGAGATGGAGAGCAACCTGAAGAGATGATATTTCATCCAGAAAAAAAAACGGTTCTGTGTGGTTTGTGGGCCGATGGAATGAACGGTCTATAGTGATGCCGGTGAGAACGTAACCGTCAATTGCGACTGTTATAGCGCCATGATAACTGACTATTTGATGCCGAAAATTGAAGCTCGTGATTTCATCGACATTTGATTTCAACAAGACGGCGTTACTTCCCACACATCGCATAAATCAGTGGATTTATTGATAGAACACTTCGAACGATCCCGAATATACGATTCAAGCCTTGGGGCAAAACATTACGCATGTAGTACGTCACTTACCAGTCGAAATGCTAAAACGAATCATCGAAAATTGTACTCAACGGATTGACTGAGACGTAGCCGCGGCCAACATTTGAAAGAGATAATTTAAATGATTAAAGAATGTTCTTTCGAATGATAATAAACATTCCCCTTGAACTTTGCAGTTGCTATATTCTTCTTTAAAGTAGGAAATGAATCAGTCTTTACTAATATTATTCCATTTAGTCTCTTACGCTTAGGCACCATGGGGTAGTGAGATTAAGTACTTATGCGGGGCTACATTTTCGCTCTGCAAAGGCGAGCGACTCGGTATTAGTCAAAAATTCTTTGGAAGCGTATCGATATTACATACTGGGTCCTGTGATATCGTTCTATCAGTAATAAAAAAAAACGCGAAGTTTCGAGTTTGGTTTAATTTAGTTTAAAAAGTTTGGAATATCAGTCAAATTAACAATCATTTAGATCAAGCCTGTTTCCAGTAGTTTTTAGCTTCATGTAAATTGTTGACTTTTCAACTCGTTCCGCCCTTCTATTAACTATTTTTATTCTCTCTTCCTATCGAATAAAATTAAAATAGATTTTGTTGATACACATTTAGCATAGTATACCCCCCGCAACTCATTTACAGTTAAAGCATACTCGACTCATATACATCATATTATATGCCACTGTATTGTTACAAATCATTTTACTAATTTATGTTTTACTTCCCAAATTCTTTATCCCACATTCGAAATGAAACGAAAAAAAAACGTAAACTTATCCGGCCCAAAACTTCAACATTTCACATAATCGCCTCTTTTTGCGGTAACAATTTTACGACAAACATTGTTTTTGTTTTTATTTGGACCTCCTACTCATGAATGCTTACCATCGATAAATTAAAAAGGAAAACACTTTTCCGTTACATGAAACTCTGGTAAGACTCTATCCACGTTTAGTATCACAATTTTAGTTATTTTCTTTCAATTTCACTAGCATTTCTGGTTTTCCGTTTTGATTCATACTTTCTGCTGTTTTTTAGTTTTGGTTGTTTGGTTTGAATGCAGTTTTAGTACAACTTTGCCTAGTTGAAAATAAAGTCATGAAAGTAAAATTAGAGTAGTACAACTAAGAGTTTTGTAAATTCCAAATATTTTTTATTGTTGTTTTTCTTATTTTTGTTATTTGGTTTAACCTGTAGCACAAACTTCTCGGCCAGTTTGTTATTTTTTTTTTTTGTTTTTTTTTTTTTTTTGTAATATAACTTAAACTCTGTAGTCGGCATTGAAGTTGTTCTTAGAGAGCAACGATTAGCGATAATTTTGTGTAAGTGTGTGTGTCCCAATCAAAAATTTAAACAAAATCTGAGCTTACAGCTTCACTTAGTGTAAAAATTGTATTGTCACTTTTTGTACCAAAACTCATAGTCGCTAATACCCATACGTCTCTTTAACGCAGCGCGCCTAAAAGCTCGAAAGCTTGGAGCGGCAAGCTGAACTGTCGTGGCAGTATGTCGCCCGGTCCATTGGAGGCGGTCTTTTTTGGGCCGCAAATTGTGGGCACCACCAAGTGCAGCGGCGGTCCCGCTGGACGATTACTGCAATCGCGTCAAATACATCACGAAGTGTGTAGCCTACTGTTGGGCGCCATTGAGAATCTTAAGGTTACGCTTAACGAGTTCAGCGCAGTGCTTACGAAGAGCATGAATAATCAAATCGGCTCACCACCATTACGCGAGAATGATACCACGGAGCGTTTGCAGCATTTAACCGAAGAGGCGAAGGTAGGTTGTCGTAGCGCTTAAGCGAGGCGCGGTAAAATTGTAAATAATTTCAATTTTTTTCTACACAGCTCCACGATACCGAAGAGGATTTCGCGATTCGGGCAAATTCCGACATCGCACAGCTGTGCGCCGAGTGCATCATGTACTGGCGGCGTGTCTTGCTCGCCTCCTCGCAAACGGCTGTGCATACACTGCTCGCCAAAAAGCATCATATACTGCGTGTGCAACGCTTTGCTGAAGGGTTTTTTGTCAACGAAAACCCGCGTCACTCGGCGGCCGGTTGCTATGATAGCAACTATCAGAATTATGTAGCTATCGCAGAAATGGCACGTCGCAGCCGTTATCTACAGTCGCTGCCACCGCTACCGGTACACTGCACGCCGATCGATGGTGATGCAAGCTCCTTACCATTGATATTTGAAGATCGCTACGTCGAACCACCGAATTATACGCGTCGTCGCACCGGCAGCGAACCGCATTTAAATAGTCACGAGAGTTTGGTGAGTTCTTGTGGCAGCAACACAACGCCCAAACTACCACCACCGCCAGCAGCGAGCATGCTCGATAAGACACACTCAGTTAATAGCCTCAGCGGGCGTAGTACTAATTCCAAAGAATGCTCGTGTACCGTAAATTTTGACTATCAGAATAGTCCCGGCTGTGTAGCTGGCGTGCTGACACCACGTTTCGCTTTGGGTGGTGAAGTATTGCAAGCAAGTCTGACTATTTCAACCACAGCAACGGCCAAAGCACCGAATAATAGCGCGCTAAACCATCGACAGATGTCACGACACTCTGTTACCGGTCTGCTTGAGGCTGACGATGATACAGCGACTGCAAAGGAATGCAGTTACAATGCTAATAGCACGTTGCCAGCGCGGCACAGCAAGTCATTGGACCAACTGGATGGCACAGTCCACAGCACGCCCTCCTTGCGCACACACAGTCACACACAACAGCTCAACATGCATGGTTCCATGCAAACGCAATCAGATTCAAATTATAAACACTTTAGTGATGGCGCCAGTGTATCCAGTTTGGCTCACAAGGTCGAACAATCGACGACGCGCAAGCATAAAGCACAAGCTGAAGATCTCATGCGCAATATCTCCGAGTTCCGTCAGAAGTACAAGAACTGTGAAGATGGTACACGCTGTGAGACTAAACTGCATTTAAATGGACACGCTAAGGCCACAAATAATCCAGCTGTAAATGGTTGTAACCGTGCCGACGTAAGCACACTTAACCGGCAGTTAAGTACGGGAAAGTTCGATTATTTGCACGAGATACGCATGCTGAACTCACCGAAGCAGCTAACGCTATGCTCACATTACAACTCGTTGCCAAAATACAATGGGAATGGCTTGATACCGCCGCGAAACTCATATCCACCCATTAAGTCGAAGAAAATAAATGGCTGCATAGAGAACGAAGCCAAAGCCGCCAAGCATATAGTGACGCCAATACAACAACACACAATACCGCGTAGCAGCTCTTCACAAGCCTTACGTCAGAAGTCCCAAGGCGATGTAAGCAGTCAAGCAGAGTATGCGTCGACCATACCGCGTTCGGTTGAGATCGCACGGGTGCGTGTCTCCGATCTCAAAGAAATGTTGAAGAATGGTACACTCAAAAAGGAGTCAAGTAGTTCTGAAAGTGATATACCCTCCAAAGTGCAGTCCTCGAAAAGTAGTGACAATAAAATGCTCTCTTCACTTAGTGTACCATTTAAATTGGAGTCGCTGAATACGACTAGCAGCGAACAGAATACTAGTGGTTTTAGCGAATCATTACCGAATCTGGCGCCACCACCGCAATTCGATGCGAACACGGGACAAAAGCGAAAACTTGTGCTAAGCAATTCCACGTCGTCCTTGAGTGAAGAGAGTGGTTGGGTGTCGAGTCGGCGCAGTTCACTCGGTCCATCTAGTCCAGAGACCATTACAAATAACGAAAAAAACGAGAAAAATGAACAAGCACATATCAATGGTATGGAGACTCGCTTAAACGGCGAGCAACTACGTCTTAAATTACAGCAACTATTGGATCAGCAAGCTCAAAAGAGCATTAAAAAGCACAGTACAGCAAAACAGTCGAGTCAAAATCACAAAAACAATACCGCGAACAATGAAATATCGATACAACGTAAAGTCTCATCCGTAACGCTGAAGATGAAACCAGACTTTAACAGAACAGAATTGCATTTACGCCGCCGTCTGCAGCATTTAACGAATGGCGAATCCACGGAAACGGATGATTTAGAAATACCTGCACAGCGCGAACGTCTAAAACATGGCAAACACGAGAAATCGAAATCAGATTTCGATCTAGCTAGTTTAAAAGAAAACACACCACTAGAAAATGTGCGTGTACCGCCACCACAGCAGTTCCAAGATGATTTGCTGCCACCCGATGAATTTCGTGATCCACCATTGCCCGGTACACATGAGAAATTTACGACAGACACAACGACATCCATAAATACAACAACCATAATCTCAACAAGACATAATAACAATAAGAAAACTCCTACCACGCAGTCCGTAAAGCCGAAAATACAACCAAGCAACGATATCAAGTTGATGTCCACACAAATACCTAAAACAAAGCTAAAGCATCATCAAAGCTTCAATATCAGTCCAAAGAAGAATCAGAGTCGTCCGTCGCATATAACAACAGTGCAGACGCAAAATCTATATGCAATGCAAAAATCTTCGCCGACGACGACACTTCTTGCAAAACCGTCCCAAATAAAAGAAATTGCCACTCCGGATCAAAGCCTTTTAAAAGTCATGGAGCCCTCGCACGCTATCGACAACCCAGTCTATCACATATACGAATCTTTGAAACCCATCGCCACACCCGCCATATTCACAAACAAACCATTATTAAAGTCACACAGCATCTTGGAGCTCAAACATAGTCATCAGCCGTCGAGCGAACTCTACAACAATCACTGCAGATCAACACCGCATCAGCATATCGGCAACATAAACAATGGTGTTACGAATGTGACCCACAATGGACACGGCCACAGCCATATGCACAGTCATGAGCATTCTAACGATCACACCCTACATACGCATGCGGTTGAACTCACCGAGGACGAAGATAAAGAGAATACCAGCAACACACAAAATAAAGCCATAGTGGCGCGAACCGATAGCCAAAAGTCGAATAGCTCCAAGGTGTTGGTTAAACGCACAAAAACCGCTGCTGTCGTCGGTAGTGGTCAAGATGCCAATGTTTCACTTATGGAATTTGAAAAATATCGTGAAGAATTTCGCAAACAGATCAAATATACCGGTAGCATTTATTCGGACTTTGCTAAGCTGGCTTCCGAACTGCCATACTTTAGCATTTGCGATGAGTATCGCGCCTTTTCGCCCAACGGTATGCATTTAATTATCTGTGTTCATGGGTTGGATGGAAACGCCGCCGATTTGCGACTCGTGCGTACTTATCTTGAGCTCGGTTTGCCCGGCGCAAACTTGGAGTTTCTAATGTCCGAGCGTAATCAAGGCGATACGTTTTCCGATTTTGAAACAATGACCGATCGGTAAGCGAACTCTATGACTAAAAAACTTAATGAGGTGTATGTGATATGTATATCTAATTTTTTAGGCTTGTAGCTGAGATACTATATCATATAGAAACATGTGGTCTGAATCCAACACGCATTTCATTCGTCGCACACTCTTTAGGTACGATTATAGTACGTAGTGCTTTGGCGCGTTCGCAAATGCGTCCATTACTACCGCGTCTATACACATTCCTATCGCTGTCTGGGCCACATTTGGGTACGCTATACAACACTAGCGGTCTTGTCAATATGGGTAAGTTACCGAAGATGACTAAAGCACATGCAGATAGAGAAATAACAATAGAAGTCTGAGTCGAAGCGCTTTGAAACATACTTGCTACTCTTTTTATTCTGAAAAGGATTTCTCATCCTTGAATATTACTTTGTAATAATATCTTAATCGCATTTCAGGCATGTGGTTCATGCAGAAATGGAAGAAATCCGGCTCACTTTTACAGCTTTGCATGCGCGACACTTCGGATCTACGAAATACGTTTTTATATCGGCTTAGTCAGCGCAGCACCCTGCATCATTTCAAGAATATACTGCTCTGTGGTTCGAGTCAAGATCGTTATGTGCCAGCGCATTCGGCCCGTCTAGAGCTCTGCAAAGCCGCCATACGTGATAACTCCAATCTGGGCACGGTTTACAGGCAAGTCACATCAGTTCAGTGCTTGATTTATTGAAATATTAAACGAAATATCTTCTCATTTGTTTCAGGGAAATGATACACAACATAATCGCACCGATACTGGCTCGACCCGAATTGCAGTTAGCGCGTTACGACGTCCATCATGCACTTCCGCATACAGCAAATACGCTCATCGGTAGAGCAGCGCATATTGCTGTACTCGATTCGGAATTATTTATAGAGAAATTTTTACTGATTGCCGGCTTAAAATATTTTAGTTAACCAAGAAATAACGAGAAATTTACCAACTACAAATAGAGGAGAAAAAAGTTACGTATTTGCTTAAAAAATACATAGTTCGAACACTTGGTTCATATGTTGAACCCGGTATACTTAGTTGAAAGCTATTTTGTAGTCGTAGTTGTTGATACACACTTTAGAGGTAGTTAGGTATATTGCTGGTAACGGAGGAATCACATGACATAGAAGAGAAAACTATAACGAAGGATTTGAGAATTGGCTCGACGTACAAATTTTATGTATATTTATTTTGAAAAAAAATATTTTGGTTTAGGTGCTCTCATTGTTTAAGCTATAGGTTTCGAAATGGAAGACCTACTTATTCTACGCGAAGGAAAACTCCTATAATTCTAGGCAATTCTGAAAATGTTAAGCATTCCTGTCGAGATTGTTATCATTTTTAATAATCAGTAGCTTAAGACAGCTGACTTACTTTGGATCAAAAATAGATGTGGTCTTTGTAGAATCCGGAATGAGATCTGACCAGCTAAATGCTATTGATTATACCAAAGAAATTACGCAGTAAAGTAGGACGGAGTAGGATATTCATTTTAATGAGAGGATGTGAGTTTCAGCCCGGGACAAATTTGAGGAAGCAAAGCTGAATGCCAATCAGAAAAACAGCAAACTATTTGAAAAAGTATGCTTTAAGATTGGGGAAAATTCTAATCTCTCGAAGATAAGCTGTTCGATAATTTATAACGAACAGAATAATTATCGAAGAGTTAAAGAAAAGTGTGTGCTATTTTCATCAACCCGATCTAAAGGTACTTAGACCCAGAAAACGAACTGTTTGGATGGGTTATGACTTTTTAGATAAGGTGAGTGGACGTGCAAAATTTTGTCGTACACTAAGTAATTTCGTTTTATAGTGCAATTTAAGCACGATTTTTTTCTATATATTCTACATTTTGATCCAATATATTTTGCGATCTTTCGGGAGAGATATTGATTTCATGCTAATAAGAGTTTTGATCCTTGTAGGTAAAACACTGGTTCAAGTGATTTTTACGTCCTGGTTTGTGAAGAAGGTTGTCCCATCCAAAAACTTTTGCACAGACCGGAAAAAGTAATAGTCCGAAGGAGCTAAGTCTGGAGAATATGGCGCAAAAGCTTTTAGCATGCTATCGAACTTATTTGAGGTCTTGCATTTTCCTGATGGAACATCATACCTTTTCTATTAATTAATTCTATCTTCTTCTATTTGCAATCGTGGTATTGTTGAACAAAAGCCCAAAATAAACGAAACTTTCGGAATTCCATCATATAGCCAACTTAACTTATTTTATCGAAGTGGTTTAAGCTAATTCAATCTTTCCAGACCATGATCTCTTGCGCTTTACATTTTTGGTACAATCCACTTTTAGCAATGAGCTTCAAAAATTAATCACTTCTTTGATGTTTGATGTCGTTAAAGCGACTAAGCAAATTTCGTTCTGTAAGAATGTGAGAAACCTATACGACAAGTTTCAAAATTAATCCTACAAGTTTCATGTCTCGTTAGAAAAATTAAATCTTTCAGTAATCTCTCGAGTTATTATTCGATGATTTTTCTTAACCAATGACTGCACCACGTCCTGAAAGGAGCCTTGAAGCCGTTGTGAATAAAATAATCAACCAACGCATTTATTTTATTTACAATGTCTTCAAGTTTCCTTCAAGGACATGGTGCGTTCTCAAGGTCTAAATTGACTGGATTTCCGATGAATAGGGTCAGGTGCAGGTGGCAAGACTGTTGCGACATTAGTTCTACAGGTTGAATGACTTATGAGTACATTAGGGACATTGGTTTTTCTTTTTAGGGTAACCCAAACTTCAAATTACGTCTGAGTCTGGGTATTCTGCATACATGGCTACACAGCATGGGCTTCTGAATGCATTTTTGCATCATAGAGAGCTATCTGAGAGGTCGGGTTATTTTACGAGGCGGGGATAGAGGACTTGGAGCATGTAATTGAAGAATGCTCGATGTACTCGGACATTAGGGATCTGGGTGGTATGGGGATTAGCAGTTCTTGGTCGTTTAAATGTTGGCGGTGTGAACTCCACTAGTCTGAATGCAAAACAGTTAGGGTCATTTGCGCTTGAATTCTTTAGGCCGCGAAGGCGTTTAACCGAGAATTAGTTCTGCGTGAATGATGTGTGCGTGTAATGTGCATATGGTATCCAAGCCCTGGTCACCAGTCCAAAGCAGTATGGAAGACCGACGGGTATAAGTTTCGGCTACGAAGTTTGGGTGTAAACTTAATTACTGTACCACGGGGAGCAGCAGTTCTAGGAGTTTGCTCCAACCTGCTCATTGTGGCCTGGCCCCTCGGCGAGTATCGTAGTGATTTTAGATAAAATCCGAATGCGGTAGGAACTGACACTTTGTCAGTTGAATGTGGAGCTGCATTTCAACCGGGTGCGGAACCCAAAGTACGGCAGAGGTTTTAGATGGGCCTCGAACCCTACCAAGGTGGTTAATGGGTCCATTCCAAACTGCTAATTTCTACTGAAAATGCTAAGGCGCTGATCAAAGCATTGATTTGATCCGCTATGCTTTTCAGCGCCGTGGAATAAGGCTGTCGTCAGTAGGTACCCAGGTTAAACACACAGGATATTGTATGTAATGGCGATCGTCACGGCAAACCCTCGGTCTCTCTTTTTTCACCATTGTTGCTATCTGAATATGAGGTCGATTCTAACAGGAATTTCATTTGGTCAACTTAGAACGCCGGTCTTTTGTGGGTAACCCAAGCTAAAAATGTAGCCAAAATTAGAATTATATCCAATAAAAATCTTCTTTCCTATACGTGTATGACGAGCAAGTCTTGATGGAGCAGAGATTTATCACAGGTTTTGAAATCGTCGCCGACAATTACTCACACACATGCAAAATATGGCAAATGTGTGCTAAGTTGAAAAACAAAAAAAGAAACTTACTTAAACAAACAAGGAATTTTTCAATGAGATTTGAACTTTTTTATATTAAAATCTATGTATTTAATAATTAATATTAAGGAACAAGCAACACAAACATACATACATATATTAAACTATTTAGTATGAGAGTAGTAGTATTAGAGAATCTTCTTCTTCTTCTTAATTGGCGTAGACACCGCTTACGCGATTATAGCCGAGTTAACAACAGCGCGCCAGTCGTTTCTTCTTTTCGCTACGTGGCGCCAAT